CACGCGTCAGCAGTGGGTTTTGATCGCGGGACGTTGGAATTATGAGTCGAACTCCTAGGTCACGAACGCCGCTTGTGAATGGTACTGTCTTCAAACTTCAAACTGAAAGAAAAGAGATTATGCTCTTGGCAGTCCTGTGTATTTGGTTTTTTACATTTTTTAAATTTAAAAGATAACTTTCTTCTTCTTTGACATGTTTACATCTGACATTATAATGGGTGCTTTTCCTCTGGGGGTTGTAAAGTATTAAAACTAACATGTATGTCCATGTTGGAGTGCCATTTTATTGTTTGGTTATTTTATTCGGAATAAACTGCAAGAAATAATAGATGATATAGTGTTTGTAGAAGTTGGACACCTGGACCTCACATTTAGTAATAGGTGATACAGTGTTGTAGAAGTTGAACACCTGGACCTCACATTTAGTAATAGGTGATACAGTGTTGTAGAAGTTAAACACCAGGACCTTAGATTTAGTAATAGGTGATACAGTGTATGTAGAAGTTGAACACCTGGACCTCAGATTTAGTAATAGGTGATACAGTGTTGTAGAAGTTGAACACCTGGACCTCAGATTTAGTAACAGAACCATCTAAGAAACATATTGTCAAAATTACAGTTATCGACAATATTGGTAATTGGGAACAAGAAAAAGGATTAAGTGTGCACACTGGAAGCACTCGGAACTTGCACTGTTGGGGGGGGGGGGGGGGGGGGGGGGGGGGGGGGGGGGGGGGGGGTCAGTGTTTTTTTCATTATATGTCTTTGATCCAAATATATAAACTGAACCAGATTTTCTCATTGCACAATCTTGATGTATTGAATCGGAGGACTGTCTACTCTGTATATCCCACTTGCCTGTTTACATTATTAAATCTTTCTAGGATACATTGGTAAAGGGAGATAATATGAATACTTGATAAACCTGGCAGTGATAGATATTATTATTATCATTTACTTTGTATAACCACGAAGCTTCATCATTAAAATCCATACAACAGCTTTTTTATGTTTTCTTGCTTCGTGTGTTTGTGTTTGTAGTGTACAGATTTGAGAAATGATACTAAAATTAACAGATCATCATCAAGTGGATGATCATGCCTCTCCACAATCTGTAACATCATATTTATGTTCCGACATCCATTTCAAGTCTGCATACAAATCACATCTGTAAAACAGATGCCCACGCAACACTCAGGCCCTGGAACAGGAATGCAGTCCAGAAGTGGATGAACAACCAGAACTTTCTGCCAGAGTTACCAGCTGGGGAATGCCCAAAAAAAAAAAGAAGAAGATCAACCCACCAACACTGGGCTACAGGTTACTTTGTAACTGAGGTATGGTACCTCAGTAACGCTGTGCTGTATGGCTATAAAATTGGTTGGGGTTTCCAGGATGTGAAGCTGCCTGACCCATCCTTGGGGTGTTAAGCCTACATTATGCAAATCTAGAGGGTGATTGGTGGTGGGGGGGGGGCATATTTTACTACACGATAGAAGGCTACCATAAATTTGCGTTGTCTTCTTCAGTCCCTGTGTTAGTTCCAGGGTAGTATTTTGTGGAAAGCAAATATAGACACACTGCCCCCAACAAGCATGTCATAAAAGGCAACTAATTAGGGTTGTTTCCTTCGTGGCATGAAAGGTGAACTGATGGCAGTTGTTTCCTTCATGTCAGGAAAGGTGACTGATGGCAGTTGTTTCCTTCATGTCAGGAAAGGTGACTGATGGCAGTTGTTTCCTTCATGTCAGGAAAGGTGACTGATGGCAGTTGTTTCCTTCATGTCATAAAAGCCGACTGATGGCAGTTGTTTCCTTCATATCATGAAAGCCGACTGATGGCAGTTGTTTCCTTCATGTCATGAAATGTGACTGACCTGACTGATGGCAGTTGTTTCCTTCATATCATGAAAGCCGACTGATGGCAGTTGTTTCCTTCATGTCATGAAAGGTGACTGATGGCAGAGTTTTCCTTCATATCATGAAAGGTGACTGATGGCATTTGTTTCCTTCATGTCATGAAAGGTGACTGATGGCAGTTGTTTCCTTCATGTCATGAAAGGTGACTGGTTGCAGAGTTTTCCTTCATGTCATGAAAGGTGACTGGTTGCAGAGTTTTTCTTCATGTCAGGAAAGGTGACTGATGGCAGTTGTTTCCTTCATGTCATGAAAGGTGACTGATGGCAGTTGTTTCCTTCATGTCATGAAAGGTGACTGGTTGCAGAGTTTTCCTTCATGTCATGAAAGGTGACTGATGGCAGTTGTTTCCATCATGTCAGGAAAGGTGACTGATGGCAGTTGTTTCCTTCATGTCAGGAAAGGTGACTGATGGCAGTTGTTTCCTTTATGTCATGAAAGGTGACTGATGACAGTTGTTTCCTTTATGTCATGAAAGGTGTCTGATGGCAGTTGTTTCCTTCATGTCATGAAAGCCGACTGATGGCAGTTGTTTCCTTCATGTCAGGAAAGGTGTCTGATGGCAGTTGTTTCCTGCATGTCATGAAAGGTGACTGATGGCAGTTGTTTCCTTCATGTCATGAAAGGTGACTGATGGCAGTTGTTTCCTTCATGTCAGGAAAGGTGACTGATTGCAGAGTTTTCCATCATATCATGAAAGGTGACTGATGGCAGTTGTTTCCTTTATAAATGGCGACCAATTAGTGTTGAAATTAAAGAATAGTACCTTTTTGACTTATAGCAAAGAAGTGGCGGTACCCACTACAAAGTGTCTATTACAGTAACGCCGAAACAAAGTATGCCTAAAATAAGTGCGGGTACTGCCATTAAAAAAAACACATGATTGTAACAACTAGATTATTGGCTTCAGAAGTAGCAGTTGAGACAGTGTGGTTTGTTGGGCTAGTGTGTTCTGGTGCAACAACAGTATGGGACAGAAGTGGTCATTAAAGATATGTAGTAAATGACCCTTTCCCACCCTTTTAGGTGTATTGGGCATTAAGTGCTAGATCTAAATGTTATAGACCAATAGGCGTTCGGTTGGTGATGTGGTCAATATCACACTGGCTACCTTCCCTTTCCAGGACGTTACCTGGCTCGCATTCAAGGCTGGGTCGACATGGAAGAGAAGATCATTTTTAAGAGAGAAGACAGAAAGTCCGGCATTCATATCTGCGGGCGAGAGTCTAGCCACTACACCAAAGCGTCTCCTGGGTGAGATTTTTTTAAATCATTTTTTCCCCCTGCAAAATGAGTGTACCTCCTTGTCTCAATACACAGGTAATTCTGTATACACATGCTCATGGTAGAAACATGGAAACGATGTGACTTTGGTTTATAATTAGTGTTAAAATTTAAAAAGTGAATCGTAGAATGAATTGACGTTACACAATCGTTTTATTATTTAGTTCTTGACAACAAAATAAACACAGCCCAAGTTGTGTCTGGTAAATATTCTCACTACTGCAACAGAGGACTGTCGGCTTTTTCAGATTCCAGCAACTAGCCATAGACTGAACGGGACAGGCAATGATCTACAGATTTCATTCTAGCTTGAGTAATGATCGGTGCCTTTTAAACTCGCTCTCTCTCTCGCTCTCTCTCCCCCCCCCACACCCCCCCCCTCAAAAGAAAGAGAAACGAGGAGAAAGACCAAAAAGAAGAAAAAAAACCCCCACACACCCCCCTCCCCCCCCCCACCCCCCCCCCCCCCACACCCCACCCAAAAAAAAAAGGAGAAAAAAACCCCCCTCTCAAAAAAAAAAAAAAAAAAATCTCTCGCCCACCAAAAAAAAAAAAAGATCATCACTCTCTCTCTCTCTCTCTCTCTGTGTGTGTGTGTGTGTTTGTATGTATAGCTGGTGTTTAAGCCAGCGGATAGCTGCAGTGATTGAATATTATCAAACTAGATGTGGTTTCCTATTAGGCTTTGCTGGCATTACCCCCCCCCCTCTCTCTCTCTCTCTCTGTGTGTGTGTGTATGTACACATGTATTTATGTATGCATATAATAGCCATGCATTTGTGTACTTTATATCACCAGCGAGATGCGGCCTTAAGTTCCTGTCCATGCTGCTCTAGAACTGTCGGTGCTAGAATTGGCCTTTTTAGCCATCTGCGCACTCACAAAACCTAGTTCAAGTCACCAATGGATGAAATGACTAGTCAACACTTGTGATGGACCAACAACAACCGAATGTTCATCATGTACAACAATGAAGATGACAGTATACTGGGCATGTCATGAGGAGAAACGCACCAAGAATCACCAATCAAGCACCGACAAGGAAACAAGTGGATTTAGGAAACTGAGGTCGTCCGGGAGAAGCGCTGAGAAGAACGTTGTTGAGAGAGGCCAAGAGCGTTGTATAGGATTCCATCCATCATGTCGAGATGATTGCATAGAATAGAACATAATGGAAGACTATACCGGGAGCCCGATGTGGCGTATAGATCGAGGCACGGCCAGCTCCAGATTTATACATACAGCCGGACGTGATCGAGGATAGGTTGGGGGAAAAGGGGTTGGGGGATAGGTGTGAAAACAAACTCATGAGATGAGTTGATTTGATTCAAGAAGCGACATCACAGCACTCAACAAATTAAACCACTGAGTTTCAAAGGTCTGGGTTAGGCGTTGCCAGGAGTGTGTGACGTTTAACCCCACTAGGACTGCACAACAAACAATTTGCATCCGGTGGCACGAAATGCCACCACTGGGGTGAGAACCTGACAGGAACAGTGCCACAAATAATCAATAATTATAAACAAACACACACATATACACACAGACAGACACACACACACACACAGAAACAGACACACTCACACAGACAGACCGACACACACACACACGCCCCAGCGCGCACGCTCACACACACACATGTATACGGCCCAATGTTTAAGCGTCATGGGAGACAAGTCAGAGAACACGGCAACTTTCTTTGTACAAATTGTGGAGAAGAAATTGTTGACAAAAAAGCAAAGATATCCAGAACCTGGCAGTTGGTAGTGAAGGCTAGCACCCAGACGGTTTCGTTAATCACTAGGCTCCTTTATCTTTGAAGTAGTCGGCTGAAAAAGAAAAGAAAAAGAAAAACACTAACAGGAACTGTTTTTATTTATTTTACACGTAATACGAGCAATACTATTCGTGTATTACGATCGTTTGGCACTCCTTCGAAAAACGGCCCCAAATGATCTAGGTCAAAAGCAGGACCTTACAGGGCCTCAATAAGTCATCTAATATAACTAAAAAGTAGGAAGTAAAATATCAAAATGAGGAAATTGACATAAAGCAATAACAGGTACCAGTTATGTCTTGAAATAGTAGCACAAAAGTTGTAAATACTGTCCGAAACGTGCTCACTGTGACTACAATTATGACATCAATTATGAGAATTTGTTGCAAAAGTCCAACAGCAAAACTAACGACATAGGACATTTGCAACAAGAACATTCTACTGTGTTTCGTATTAATCCGTGTGTGGCAATCCATTGCAACTACTGTAGGTTATTATTAATTAATATATATCTTCTTTTTCTTTTTCGCTTTTACCAGCTGTAAACTCCAGTGGAAAGTTCTGCTTGTTCGTCCAGTTCTGGACTGCAATCCTGTTCCAGAACCTGAGTGTTGCGTGTGCATCCGTTTTACAGATCTGACTAATTTGTTTGCAGACTGCTGGTTCCTTGCCTCTCGGGCAGAAGCATTACGACTTCGAAGGAAGACTACAATTAGTCGACTCTTACGATATGCTTTTGGGTAGGCAGTGGGTCTTTTCTAGTTTTCCCTATAATAGGGCCCCGGAACCCACACAGGGAAATTAATTATTTATAAGCCAGCAGGTATAACATATACAGTTGTCAGTTCATCAATTGATAGAACATTATTACCTATCTGCCAAATTTGCGGAAATAAATCCATCCTAATTTTAGTGAAGCCCTGTAAGGTTAGGTTTTTGACTTAGATCATTTGGGGCCGTTATTCGGAGGAGTGCCGGATGTTTTTTTTTTTTTTTTTGAAACTCGTTCGCTCTGCTCCGATCTTAATTGCGCTCTATAGGATCACGCTATAGTTACGTTGTTTGTACTGATCACTGAATAAAAGAGCAAGTGTTTATGATGCATAGATTCTCTTCTGACCAGGGCTACCAATACTGGGTTTTCACCCCAAGATCTGGGTTATTTTATGACGCCTTGGGTTAAGATTTTTAAATCTGGGTTTATTTTTTAAATATATACTGATATAAAAGAGGGTAAATGTTTCCTTTCGTAACTATACAATTTGTACATGTGATTATTCTTGGGGTTTTGTTTTTTTGGTTTTGTTTTTTGCTTATGTATTGGGTTTTTTGGTCAGCTTAGCTTGGGGTTTGATAAAAAACACACATTGGCAGCCTGCTTCTGGCCGTTGAATAAAAATGGCCATGCTGATCTAAAATCTGACTAATGTAATTAGTGTAGTAGGGTGGAAGCGACGAAGACTACAGTACAACAGATTAAAGGTCTTTCAGAGGTTTATCCTGGTTTGAAAATGCCAACTGGCAAATAGGGTAAACATTGGCAGTTAATAGATTTGAACCGAAGATGGAGAAAATCATCAGCCCACGGTGGTATTTAAACGGCCGACTGATTTTATTTGGGCCTTCTCCTATCTGGTGGCCGCTTCGGCTTGTTACGGTCAAAACGCCCTGTTGTCGTTGTCGACTGCACTTGGTCGCAACGTACAAAATGTACAGGTGTGTCAGATCGAATGGCTGGGACGTCGCTAGATTGGATCGGCTCGGTATGGTACGTTCCTTTGGTTAGATTCAATAATAATTGTCACTTGTATTCTAGACACGAAATAGTTAGATAGTAGATTGCTGTATGTTTGAGGTTTTGTTCCAGCACGTGGCCGTTTATGTCGTTACTTTTTGGCCATGCTGATGTGAAAGTTCAATAAAATTATGTTCAACGTTGTATCCATAGTTACAGTTGTTTCCTTCAGCTTAGGACTAGTAGTTAGTGTGCTTTAGTAGTTTTCTTGTTTTAGTTTCAGTATTACCTGACTTATTAGACTTTACACAGAAGATCTAATGCCTGGACTAGAATATTTGTTTCTAGCCCCCACCTGAACGAATCTACTTATCTATTTCCTATTTCCTCTTTATTTTTTTAATATTAGTACTATGGGGCTTTCTCCCCCTGTTACAAATGGCGTCGTCTGGCAAGGATTTTGGTGGCCATTAGATAATTTGTGTCTAGCCTAGTTAGTTCAAGTAATAATAGTAGTTCATAGTTTAGATTGATTTTTAAATGGCGCCCAACTTGTGGGGCTTCTATATTGCAGTCTTTTGTTGATATTTGTTTAGTTAGATGTGACAGGATTTAATTCACACAGGAGTTCTAGTTTGTGCAGGTAATAGTAGTGATTTTTAAATTTTAAATTCGGCTTTTATGGCGCTCACGTGCTCTTTTATTTCAGACTTTAAATATGTTAGCCCACGTGTGTGGTTTCGTTATCGAAGACTTGGGTTGTTCATAGTTAGGTTTTATATCATCTTGTTCATGGATGAGTAGCGTTGTGGAGTAATTTAATTAGCCAGGTCTAGACGGCTCAGATTATCGCGTCTTGATTTTAATTTGGTTTAGGACTTGTGTAGGTTCAGCCTGTGTAATTTTATTGTGTGACCAGATGTTAGTTTTGTTTTCACTAGCAGTAGTCGGCGTCTATTGTTAAGTTAACTAGTGGTCAGTGTCTATTGTCGACTAGGAGTGGTTTTGTCTATTGTCCACGGAGTGACTTGTTTACGTCTCGACCTGAACTTGGGGTCAGTTTATCTTGATTTATGTCTCCACATCAAGGTTTAACTGTAGGTCTGTTTGTATATTAGGGAGCCTTGTTTAAAGTACACCGACCGAGCCACTTAAGCAATGACGTTTTTTTTAACATTGCTGGTACCAGTTGAAACATTGTAGGCTTCGGCCGAGGTAATTTCGTTCCATTCTCATGTAGGCTTCGGCCGAGGTAATTGTTGAATGTCACTTGGAAGCCAAGCGGTGTTGGCAGTGACGAGAGGATTGTCTCTTGATGGCCGAGCGGCCGAGACATTGGCAAAAGTGGTAACGTGTCCAATCAGTCCATTGTAGGCTTCGGCCGAGGTAAATTGTTGAATGTCACTTCGAAGCCAAGCGGTGTTGGCAGTGACGAGAGGATTGTCTCTTGATGGCCGAGCGGCTGAGACATTGGCAAAAGTGGTAACGTGTCCGATCAGTCCATTGTAGGCTTTTTCAAAGCCGAGGTAATTGTAGGCCTTCCATGAGGCCGAGGTAATGTCCGATATGTCTCTGATGGCCACGCGGCCGAGACAAGAGTGTGTTATGTCTCTCGAGGGCCACGCGGCCGAGACAATGTCCATTGTAGGCCTTTGGCCGAGGTAGTAAACGAAAATGTCCGTTTGTAGGCTATGCCAAAGCCGAGGTAATTGTAGGCTATGCCAAAGCCGAGGTAATGTCCGATATGTCTCTCGAGGGCCACGCGGCCGAGACAAGAGTGTGTTACGTCTCTCCAAGGCCACGCGGCCGAGACAATGTCTTTTGTAGGCCTTTGGCCGAGGTAGTAAACGAAAATGTCCATTGTAAGCCCTGCGGCTGAGGTATCAAATATGACAACTTTATCTACGGAGATTACTGGACGTCGGAGAGGAAATCCAACTGATCAAGAATCCGGATGTTAACTGATTACTATGTTTTATTGCAGTAACATGTTTTTTTATTTTTATTTTAGGTTTTGCTTGTTGTGTTTTTAGTAGTGATTTGATATGTGTTTAACGCATTGTTCTAGCGAGGAGCGGATTAATTGGGGGTTTGTTCTACTCTGATGGTGTCTCGGACCAAAGCGCACACGCTAACGTGTTCCGATGATATCGCCATTATTGATGTAGAGGGGGGATTTGTAGTGATTTTGCAGATGGTAGCTGAAACTCGAACGGCGCAAAATGTTCACTGGATGTTTTCATGACTACTGCCATCTTTGTAATTTCTTATTTGGGACTTATACGTTTCCTTATCCAGTTTCCTTGGGACGAGTCATGCTTTGATCATATATCGATGTCAGCTATTTTTGGGTGAATGTTATTAGTGGTACTGCAAAGTAACTAGTGAGTACATAATGTCAGGGGGATGATTTATTTCAGGTGGCTATGGCCAGTAACTCTGTTGGATGTAGAACAGGAGTTGGGGGATGATTTTTAGACAATTGAGTACATATTGTGTGGTTGCAGGGACGTCAACAAAATAATAATCCGACGTGTAGTAGGGTGGAAGCGACGAAGACTACAGTACAACAGATTAAAGGTCTTTCAGAGGTTTATCCTGGTTTGAAAATGCCAACTGGCAAATAGGGTAAACATTGGCAGTTAATAGATTTGACCGGAAGATGGAGAAAAATCAGCCCACGGGGTATTTAAACGGCCGACTGATTTATTTGGGCCTTCTCCTATCTGGTGGCCGCTTCGGCTTGTTACGGTCAAAACGCCCTGTTGTCGTTGTCGACTGCACTTGGTCGCAACGTACAAAATGTACAGGTGTGTCAGATCGAATGGCTGGGCGTCGCTAGATTGGATCGGCTCGGTATGGTACGTTCCTTTGGTTAGATTCAATAATAATTGTCACTTGTATTCTAGACACGAAATAGTTAGATAGTAGATTGCTGTATGTTTGAGGTTTTGTTCCAGCACGTGGCCGTTTATGTCGTTACTTTTGGCCATGCTGATGTGAAGTTCAATAAAATTATGTTCAACGTTGTATCCATAGTTACAGTTGTTTCCTTCAGCTTAGGACTAGTAGTTAGTGTGCTTAGTAGTTTTCTTGTTTAGTTTATTATTACCTGACTTATTAGACTTTACACAGAAGATCTAATGCCTGGACTAGAATATTTGTTTCTAGCCCCCACCTGAACGAATCTATCTTTTTCTATTTCCTATTTTCCTATTTTTTTAATATTAGTACTATGGGGCTTTCTCCCCCTGTTACATTAGTAAAAGACAGTACTTGTAAATAGCTATTATAATGTTCACTTCGGTTGATGTGTGCAGGAGATTCCGTTTTCCCGCTGTCTAACAACTCGGCTGCTAGAAACTTGTCACATGAGGTCTTATAGCAGCGGTTTTCAGCCCTCCTAATGCCGCGACCCTTTAATACAGTTCCTTATGTTGTGACGACCCCCAACAATACAGTTATTTCCGTTGTTACTTTATAACTTCAGTGATTATGTGTTTTCCAATGGTCTTAGGCGACTATTGTGGAAGAGTCGTTCGACTCAGAAAAGGGTGGCGACTCACAGTTTGAGAACCGCTATCTTATAGTCAATGCTTTGGCAAATTTTGTAAATTCCGTCCATCTCAAAGATATGTTTACCCCCCCCCCCTTTTTTGCCCTCTCTCTCTCTCTCTCTCTCTCTCTCTCTGTGTGTGTGTGTGTGTGTTATTTATATGCTTTTTTTATTCATTAGTATAAAAAAGCTAACGGCCCACGCCACTACCCTTGGTATCATGTTATTATTGTCAATCAGCTGTGGCGCTTGATATCGTTAAAATATTTCAGTTTCTGAGACAAGAAGCTGTTTACTAGCCAATCTTCCCTCCGTGACAAGAAGCTGTTTACTAGCCAATCTTCCTTCCGAGACAAGATGCTGTTTATTAGCCAATCTTCCTTCCGAGACAAGATGCTGTTTATTAGCAAATCTTCCTTCCGAGACAAGATGCTGTTTATTAGCAAATCTTCCTTCCGAGACAAGATGCTGTTTATTAGCCAATCTTCCTTCCGAGACAAGATGCTGTTTATTAGCCAATCTTCCTTCCGAGACAAGATGCTGTTTACTAGCCAATCTTCCTTCCGAGACAAGATGCTGTTTACTAGCAAATCTTCCCCCCGAGACAAGATGCTGTTTACTAGCAAATCTTCCTTCCGAGACAAGATGCTGTTTACTAGCCAATCTTCCTTCCGAGACAAGATGCTGTTTATTAGCAAATCTTCCTTCCGAGACAAGATGCTGTTTATTAGCCAATTTTCCTTCCGAGGCAAGATGCTGTTTACTAGCCAATTTTCCTTCCGAGGCAAGATGCTGTTTACTAGCCAATCTTCCTCCCGAGACAAGATGCTGTTTACTAGCAAATCTTCCTTCCGAGACAAGATGCTGTTTATTAGCCAATCTTCCCTGATGTTCGGACTTTCCAGGAAGTCGGCATGTATCTTCTTATTGGTCCATTCGGCATTCTATTTTTAAGGATATGTTAGTCATTTTAAACATAATTACATCTATTTGCCATTCAGCACATTATTATTATTATTACACACTTAAACAAGACACACCGCTGAAAATTTATAAGAGGGAGCTCAGTACCCCCTCCCCCACCCACAGTTCTCTTTGTGTCATCGTCCTGGTAGAGCCAGCATAATAAAAAGGGACCAGATAATTTCCAGAACTGTCTGCATAATAAAAAATAAAAAAAACGACCAGAAAGACACGAGACTGGCCAGCTAGCTGGTATGTAGTGATTTAAAATGTGTGAAGACCTGAAACTGCACACTTATGCAGCGGTATCTGCTATGTGGCAGCAACATTAATAAAACGATGAGAAATTAACAATCATGAATAAACTTCGTGGATTTTACAGGGAGGCTTCAAATGAAAACCTTAAAAGTGTGATAGAAATTACAATAGTCAATGTGATTTCCACCTGTCACAGCAGGAATCCAAATCACTACATTGGTCGGTGGTGGGCTTGTACTGAACGCAGTGGCAGCCACATCTAAAAATGATGCATTTGTTCTTCACTTTTGTAGAATACAATCTCTCTCTCTCTCCCTCTCTCTCTCTCTCTCTCTCTCTCTCTCTCTCTCTCTCTCTCTCTCTCTCTCTCTCTCACACACACACACAAATACACACACACATATATATACACTCACGCAACACATTTAAAGCCCCTTGATTTTCGTACTTTCTCAAGTTCAGGAGAGTGAGTTTAGACTGACATACCTAGCTTCTCTACAGCCTCCACACAGACACTTGGGAACATGTTCTCCTTGTAGGTAGCAAACACGAGCATTGTTGCCGTCTTGACCAGAACCAGGCCGCTCTTGTCCTGTGAAAGTATTCATTGTTAACAAGGATGGGAAACTTGTTTTTTTTTTTTTTACACTGCGCTATTTAGGCGGGGATTTAGGGATCGCAGCCCATAATAAATTATCATTAATAATAAATTATTATTATCATTATTAATGAATGGCCCAAATATAACACATTTGGACAAATTTGTAATGTATAAACAAACGTTTCACAAGAGAACGTCTATTTATGATAGGGATGTTGTGGGAAGGTTGCCTTCTACGAATTATTGTTTAGGGGACAGTTCTCTCCCCCCCCCCCCCCTGCAGAAAAATTGGGAAGGGGAAGGCGCAAGGTACTTGACCCCCCCCCCCCCCCCCCCCCAGGTTTGGGCGCCTAAGTTCCAAGTATGTTATTAAATCTGTTTGTGATTCAACCCACTATTATTGTTAATATTATTACGCTGAGTAAAAGTAAAGGTACCCTTTTCCACGTCTTCAGGTGCATTGGGTATATAGGGCGAGACCTATATTGTATAGACCAAACGGCACTTGGAGGGTGATGTGGTCAGCATGACACCAGCCACCTTTACTTCCTAACTGGCACCCACTCAAGGCAGGGTCGACCTGGGAGCTAAAATCATTTTTGGACAAAGTCCGGCCCCCGATCCACAGGCGAGCGTCCAGTGGCTCTAAACCTTCCTAATGCGGCGACCCTTAAATACAGTTCCTCGTGTTGTGGCGACCCTTTAATACAGTTCCTTATGTTGTGGCGACCCTTTAATACAGTTCCTCGTGTTGTGGCGACCCTTTAATACAGTTCCTCGTGTTGTGGCGACCCTATAATACAGTTCCTCGTGTTGTGGCGACCCCCAGCCATTCAATTATTTTCGTTGCTACTTCTTAACTTCAGTGAATACAAGGGTCGCCACCCGCAGGTTGAGAACCGCTGGTGTAGCCGCTAGACCAGGGCGACTCCCTGATTATACTTGAAATAATATGAAATATACACACACTTTTAAAGAGAATTTCTATAAATTCTTTAAGAGGCCTCTCAGTCCTTTTACCCCCCCCCCCCCAAATAATTTTTAATGGGGTAGGGAGGGGTGAATATTTTGAGGGACGGGCTTGTATGATACGTGGCATAGGTATACCAGCATAATGCTACCGGTTTCAAGCTTGGATATTATCAAAAGCTCACACACATTAAGGTAACATAAAGGTTAGATGTCCGAGAAAAGCTGCTAACTGAGCCATGCGAGGCCGTATAAGAAATGGCAGCTTCAGACAGACTGTGGGGATATCACCTTTTATCAGATTCATTGAGAAACCGGAGAGTGTTATACATAACATAAAATACAACTCAAACTCACACGCTTAGATGCGAACAAACACACCCTAGACATGGTCACTCACCCAGAGCAGTATATTCACACGGCGTCAGTACGTAAAGGCGGCATTGGACTAACAGAATTTGTATGAAACCGGCTAGTATCTTATGTAATTAAAATCACTCTTATTAAACATCAGAAAAGCGAGTAAGTGTACATCGAGTCTGTTCTTATGTAATAAATCACTCTTATTAAACATCAGAAAACGAGTAAGTGTACATCGAGTCTGTTCTGTTGTATGACAGAGAATCTCGGAATCTGATCAAACAAATTAAGAAGAGTTTGGAGACAACTGAGATGTGGGTCTTGAGAAGAATGTTGTGAAAACCTTGGACTGTCAGAATAACTAACAATGATTGCCTGTAACTGGCTAATGAAAGTAGAACATTATATACAATAAATATAAGGAGACAAAGTTCTTTGGTCATCTGATGAGAAAGGAGCACTGGAAAATATCGCAACAACTGGAAAGATCACTGGTAGAAAAGGCAGAGGCAGACCAAAATAAATGACGGTGGATGGCATAAGACAATGGCATGGTTGAATATCATCAGTGGAATTAATCCAGAACACCAAAGACCGAGATCTGTGGAGGTGCATGAACGCCTACTCCAGCTGGCAAGGCACTTTATGAGGGCACGTTTAACATGACAGAACTTACACATTTGGCATAGATAGAGTCTGCATCTGCACGCACACACTTGTAGTTCTTGTCATCGTAGTAAATACCTTCTTCTCTGGTCTGCCGTGGATTTCTGAAGGCATCCAAGAATACCTTCACTTGATCGGGATACACCTGAAGTCATTTTTACAGCTACTTAATGTTATTTCGTCTAAAAATCATCTCTCTGTTAACGTATAAAATATACAAACAATAAAGCACTCGATAAGGTGAAACACTGAGAAATTATTACGATGTTGAAAAACTTAAACAATCATCATCATCATCATGTAACAGGTCCTATGCAGAATGTCGCTCTCATCACTGTCTCTCGCCTCGTGTGTCTTCTTGGTACCATGTCTACTGCCATTTTTTTCCCCAGTCCACAGTGGCGCTTGATATGACCAAAATATTTCAGCTTTCGAGACAAAGTGCTTTTTATTAACCAGTCTTCCTTGATGTTCAGGTCTTTTAGAATGTCAGTATTTGTTCTCTTCTTTGTCCGCGGTATTCTGAGAATCTTTCTATAGCATTTCATTTCAAAAGTCCCTTTTTTCTTTCTTAAGGTCTGTTAGATCAAGACCGTCTACAGGAGACTTGGCATCGGTTGGATAGCCCACAGCTCACATCCGTATGTTGCTACATGGAAGATGGATGCTCCCAAAATTTTATTTTGAATTCCTTTCAAGGCTGCTTAATCTTAAGCATCAGCGTCTGGGGCTTAGGCGTTTCGTAATGCCGGGGTGCCGGGTTTGATCCCAGCTGCGGGCTTTGCATCTTGCGTTGGTTTCGACAGTGGTATCGAGAAGCCGACCGTCCAGCAAGCAATGGTGAACTAACTACTGGACTTAAATTTGTCTAGAAAACCCACAACAGCCAAAAAATTCTGGGGTTGGTTCTGCAATGTCCTGTAAAGGATAGAAAACTTTATTAAATCTTAAACAATGATGGCAACGATCTAATGATGGTGATCGTGTTCTCCTTAGTGTTCCCCGGCTGTACAACTCCAGCGAACAGTTCTGTTTCTTTGTCCTGGAACTTGAACTTGATCCAGAAGAGTTTTTGCGTTTACATCCCTTTTACAGATCTGGCTTATTTGTTTGAGGACTGTTAGTTCCTTGCCTTTCAAGCAGAAGCATTCCGACTCTGAAGGAAACAACCCTAACTAGTTGCCTCCTACGACATGCATGTTAATCAGGCAGGGCACTGGGTCTATTCTTTGTTCTTTAGAATGGGGTCCCGGAACCGCCATCAGATGCTAATACTGATGATGATGACAATATATACATGGTAACAAGAAGCAGTCATAAGAACTGAAAACTGTCCATCACAAGTGGGTATACAATCCTCTTACTGTAATAGTGTGTAACGTTTTTCTGTTCACCAAGCACTGTTACGGTCTTGTACGTTTTTATGTTCACCAAACACTGTTACGGTCTTGTACGTTTTTCTGTTCACCAAACACTGTTAGTGTCTTGTACGTTTTTATGTTCATCAAACACTGTTACGGTTTTGTGCGAGTCTAAATCCTCGGACTCAAGATGTTCCTGTCCTACATCACTGGCTTCACTGTACTCCACACAAAGTTCACAGCCTATTCCTTCATTCCATTCTCTTTTGGGCAATCATTTCGATATCATGAATTGAATTAAATCCAGTCTTGCATCGCTGGCCTTTCAACGGCGTTTGTCTGAGTGTTTTAATGTAGACGTCCTCGTTTCCTCAGTCCATTCCTGTCAAACACCACTCTAAACAGTGGTACGTGCAGACAGTAAAGTCAGTAAAGGTTTGCTTACATTGAATCCGAGGGAACTGGCTCTGATACTGCCATCTTCTCGTCTGATAATGGCACACTGGTGTACGTGATCTGTGGCTATCAGGGCGTCCTGAAGCAGTCCTGAAAGCTGGTTCATCTTAACAGCATCCTGCAATACAGAGTAGACAACGATGTTTAGAGACGATTAAAAGAATATTTGTTGTCAGGTTTCTCTTGAATGTCTTCGCGTTCTGAGTCCATATGCTTTCACTTAAGTGCCAATCAAAAAAAAACAGAAACTTGGAAAACAGACATACAGATAGAGAGCATGCTCAGAGATTTTGAGAGAATTCTCAGAAGATTGTTGGGGTTTACATGGGAAGATACAAATCAGCAATTCTAGATTACAACAAATGACAGACTTAGAAAATGTAAATTTAGAAATTAAAAAACGAAGATGGAGGTGGATTAGAAATGTCCTCAGCATAAAGAAGGAGATACGGCAGAGACAGGCATGCAATAGACACCATAAAGACAGCAAGGAGAGGCAGGCCCAGAGGCACTTGGAACTTTTGAAGCTGTACTTTAGGACAAAACTGGAGATAAAAGAGGATGGCTCAGGATTAAATTGAGTGGCGACAATTTGTATCTGCCTTATGTGCCTCTGGGCGCGAAAAGGACTGATTGATTGCCATCAATGAATCACAAATCACACACACTAGACTACAGGTTACATTGTAGTGCCCCAGTATAACTGTTCCTTATGGCGTTACGGTTGACTGGTTTTCCCGGATTTGTAGCTATTTAATTCTTATCACTGAGATATTAATTCTGCAAAATGCAAATCTGGAGGTGACCAATTTTTTAAAAATACTACTCTATGTCCGCTTCGTCTCAGAATGTACCTAATACATCGCAATTTTTTAAAAAATCTTCTTCCTCTTGTGCATTTCAAACCCTTGAGGTTCATTGATGCAGATATCATTCGCCTCCATTTATCCCCCGGTTTACCTTTTATGTCCAGTTGGTGACACCACATTGTAGATCTGCCTGAATATTATCTCTCCATCGTCTTCTTGGTCTGACTCATGCTGTTTTCTACGACCATTCAGCTCTCTTGTGCATACATTCTTCATTTATATTTCTGTCATTTGATTTTATGTCAATATTCCCCGGTCATTTCAGTCTATTATACCTCATGATACCAATGATTAATGGTGATTTAAACAGATTAGGAATTTCGTTGTTGCTTCTCACTCTCCATTCACCGCTGTGTGCACCTCTGATGGGTCTAAAGATGCGTCGTAAGTTTCTGTTTTCGAAAATTTATAATAAGGATTTATCTCTTTTAGTTGTGCTCCGAGTTTCAGAGCCATATAAAACGACTGGTCTTATCAATGTTTTATATATTTTGATCTTGGTGTTGCGAGACAGAGACGTTGACTTTAGCAGATGTTTAAAGGCATAGTATACTTTGTTTCCAGACTGTATTCTGAATTGCATTTCTTCTGTCAGCATGTTGTAACAGTTGAAGTTTGCATCCAAGTACTTATGTCTCCGTTTGTTTGATTTTCATATGATCAAATTATATGTGGTCGGAGTTTCTATCCTTCCCCTGTCGTGTTATTATCATGTATTCTGTCTTATCTTGATTGATAAATAGTCCCATTTTATGAGCTGCTTCTTTTATGAGTCAGTGTTTTAACAGTCTCTAGTTCATTTTCTCCAACGATAGTAATATCATCTGCATAACCATGTTTTCTTGTAGTTTTTCCTATTGTACACTCTTCATTCAATTTCCTTATAATTTTCTACACGGCTGAGTTGAAAAGAAGCGGGGACAGAGCATCAGCTTGCTTTAAACTCAGATGTTATTTGAAAAGAGTCTCTTTCTGCCTTTATATGTTTTATAAGTGTATTATAAATGTCTTCTTTACATATTTTGGTCATGGTGATTAACTTCTTTGGTATTCAAAAATCCTTTATAGCATTCCATAAATAGTTTCTATGCACACCATCATACGCCTTTTTAAAATCTACAAAAACAGTATGTATATCTCTTTTATATTCCACATTTGGCTCTGCTATATGCCATAAAAGAAATATTTGATCTACTGTTGATCTGTTCTGTCTGAAACCCGCTTGATAATCACCTAATATATCTTCGACGCATGTTTTAACCTGTTTAGCAGTACCGCCGAAAGTATCTTTAAGCTTGTAGATAATAGTGTAATTTTCACATTTATACTTGTATCCTTTCTTTAAAATGGGTACTATTATGGCTCTTTTCATACACAGGGTAATTTCTCCATCTTTCAAACTAGTAAGTAAAAGAGTAAAGGACCCTTTCCACGCCTTTAGGCGTATAGGGCATATAGGGCTAGACCTATATTTTTATAGACCAACGGCACAAGACGGGTGATGTGGTCAGCATCACGCCGGCCGCCTCTACTTCCCGGGATTGCACCCGGTACCCACTCAAGGCTGGGTCGACCTGGGAGCCAAGGTCATTTAAACTAGTTTTAATAATTCAAATATCTTTACATGTAATGGATGACCACCTTCTTTTATAAGCACAGCAGCAATTCCATCAGCACCAGTTGCTTTATTGTTTTTAAGCTGTGTTATGACACACCTTACTTCTTCAAAATCCGGCTCTTTAGTACTTGGTTCACATGTTAGCATTTCTTCCTGTGGATAAGTATTGAGTGGAGTTTTACAATTTAGGCTTGATTTTTAATTGTGCACCAACCAGGTGGTGGTCACTATTTTCTTTATATTATTCCTGAATTACCATCCGATTATTAGGTGCTTTACTACATTTCACCGCGTGGCGCCCGGTGTCATTATGAATAGGACCCCTGCACCCTCACAGCATGTCGTAAGAGGCGATTAAGAGGTGTTAGACGAGGGGCCAGCAACCCAACACTGTAAAAAAAAAAAAAAGGATCACCGGTACCGAAACAGAAACAAATATACATATAAATAAAACTCACGGAGATCCGGATGTCATAGATGAAGGTAACAGGATAACTTGTCAATGACGCGAAGGATAACACTGGAGATAAGAGAGGATGGCTCACGATCGAACTGAGTGGCGACTGTTTGTCTCCCGCCTTATGTGCCTCTGGGCGCGATGAGGATTGATTGCCCTGTACCTGACCGACTGATGTTAAACCTCACAAGGACCGTACAGCGAGTGATAAACACTCAGTGACACAAAGTGCCACCATTCGGATGAGAATCACCCGAGCACAAGACCCAGAAACCATTTTGAACCGTTCGGTTATATTAGGGCCCCCCAACGACAGCCGGGTGGAGCTTTAAAAAAAAACAACATAAAATTGCATTCTATATTAATAAATAATTACTTCTTACCAGCTCAAAAGACCGAGTTAATTTTTTCTTCCACTGATCAAAATTCATATTCGCCATTATTCCCTATCAAGAGTTTCAACTATTAAAACACGACCCGTTTCTATCTCGGGTGTTATAACATAACAATCGATATCGGAGTTATCGAACACCCGGCTATATATATATACTCTCGATCAGTTAATCGAACACAGTGGCGCTTATGAAACTGGCTGTTATTCTTGTGTATCGCAGAGTCCCGAACTAAGACGGGTATTATTGGTTCTGATAGATCTCCTTTTGCTCTGACCGTGAAAGAAATCTGGCTAACAAAAGCGGCAGACTTATTGATTTCCTGTCTGAAATAACAAATTGATTATATAGTTTGTCCACGACCGACAACCGGCTCCAGCGACGGGCCGTGCTGCTGACGTCATCTGGTCAGGCTAACGATGCGTTAACGCAGCGGTTCTTAAACTGAGTGCTGAGTCACCCTGGGGGCTGTGAGAGTATGCCAGGGGTGCCGCGGCAATAATCAAGAAAAGTGGGCTAAAAAATTGTGAAATTTTTAAAGAAGGCGTGTCGAAACTTAAAAGTTAAAATATAAGTTGTCTTTCCTCGCCACTGTCGAAAATAGTTCATTTCTTGTTTGAGACCCGCTGCGTTAACGCATCGTTAGCCCGACCCGGTGACGTCAGCAGCACGGCCCGTCAGCTGGAGCCGGTCGTAGTTTGTCAGTGTACTCAAAGAGCACGCATCAGAAGAAACTTAATAAATGTGTAAACAGAATGTCCTTTCGTTGGAATCCCTGAGGTTTAAAAATAATGTTAAAAAGGCTGGAAGATGCCTAATTAAAAACACTAGGATAATTAGCGAGAAATGGGAAAGAGACTGAGGGAGCTGTTAAAAAACAACAACGAAAATTAGGACAAGAGCTTCTTCTCCGTGTTCACTGACTGTAAATTATAGTTGTTTGTCCACCTCTGGACTTCAGTCTTGTTCCAGAGCCTGAGTGTTGTGTATACATCCGTTTAACAAATCTGACGTAACTGTGTGCAGATTGTTGTCTCCTTGCCTCTCGTGCAGATGCACTCCGACTTCCAAGGAAACCCCAAATTATTCGACTCTTACGACATGCATGTTGTGGAGGCAGAGCGTCTATTCTTGTTTTCCCCACAAAGGGACCCCGGAACCCACACGGTGAAAGAGTTAACTGAAGGCGTAAGTTCCTAGTAAAGGATCAATAAAGAAATAGGGGTGGAGGGGAGACTAAAAAAAAAAAAAGAAGAAGAAGAAGATGATGAAACGTAGACGAAGAAGAAGACGATGAAACGTAGAAGAAAACAAAAAATAAGCAAGGAGGAGGAGAAGAAAAGGGAACTAAACTAATAAGAAAACTGTTACCTTAAACTCTTTCCATAATGGAAAACTTATCTTTCTTCAAGCTTGTGTTGTTAAATTAAGGTTGCCAAAGTATACTGATCATTTCATTGGCTGACTATAATTCAAATCCCCGCCGGGACTTCTCAACAAGCGATAAACACACGTTGACACAACGTGCCACCATTCTGATGAGAATCCCCCAGGCTCAAGTCCTAGAAACCCCATTCAACTGTTAGGTTGAAGTGGGGAATTTATTGGTTCAAGTAATATTGCTCGAGAATTACGGAGGAAATTACAGAAAAAGCGCAATTCTATCAGCGCTGTGAAGACCGGAACACACGAAACAGCGAAAAATCGAACAACAGCTACAGCCAAAAGCGAACGTGGAAAACTCTGCAGTATTCGGAATGTTAGCGGACTAGGAGATCAAGT